CCCGTGTTGGATGTGCAGCTTTCGTGGCGGGCGCTATTGGTAGCGTATGTCGTGTTCCCGAAGCAGGGTGGTGAACGGCCTCATCGTACCCCTCCATTGAATGGTGTCTCCTGTGAGATCCGCATAAAAAGTGAGGGTCATATTTTCGAAAGCGTAGGGGCCTTTCCCCTTGAGTGCCGCTAGTACCGTCGCTTTGTCCGCTCTGCTGCGGAACTTCACCACCAGGTCCCGGATCGCCGTGGCAGGGGCTTTCCGGGGTTTGGGTATGTGGAAGACCCTCTCTGGTGCTAGGTTTTTGGCCCTTTTAGGTGTTAGTAGGGCCCCCAGTAACCTCCGCAGCAGATGGGGTAGTTGTTCTGTCTGCACCTCTTCTGGTACTCCCCTTACTTTGAGGTTATTTTGGCGCCTTTCATCCTCCAGCATTGCGAAGCGCTGGTCAGTTAGGCCCTGTTGTTTCTTTAGTTCGGCCATTTCACCCCGGAGCTCGGTTATAGTGCGGATCGCAGCCTCAGCCGAGGTTTCCACCTTGCCCAGGCGGCTCACCATTCCTTTGAGGTCGGTGCGGAGTAATGCCACGTCGGCCTGGATGTTTATCACTTGCTTTTTAAACAATGAGTTTGATGGAATAATAGTTTGTTTCCAACTTTTTGCGATAAGCAACTTCGTTGCCATGAGGCAATGAATTATCAAAATCTCAATTTTTTTTATTATTTTCTATCTCATAGGTGCAGTAACGTGGTCTTTGGTGTTTTCTCTAATGTCACTGCTCCTATCTTATTTATTCGTTCGAACGTTAAATCCCATAATGGGATAATTCTAGGACAGCGCCACCAAATATGTATTATTGAGCCGTTTATATGTGAACATCTCCAACAATTAGGAGGATTACTTGATGAGATTTTGTTAAGTCTTATCGGTACAAAGTACCATCTAAAAGAGTTTTAGAAAAGTTTCCAAAATGTTTAAACAATGGATATATTTTTTTTAAGTTTATTAAATGCCTGACACCATAAATCATGCTGTATATCCAAAGCTAGATCCGCTTCCCATTTCATAAACGTCGTAAAGGTATTAGGACACATAGCTATTTTTATTGCTTCCATTGCGTTAGCATAAACATGTTTAGAGGATTTAGCCGATAGGATATCTTTAATTAAACCTCCCAATTTATCATATCTATTCATATGGTCTTTTAAAAAACTTTTTACTCGTAAATAATTAAATATTTCTTTTGAGGGCAAATAAGTAGAGTGGAAAGTTCAGCATAGTTTTTCAGCTGCCTATCGTTGAATAAAATATTAATCTGATCGTTATTATTATACCAATTTTTAAGATCAATTTGTGTCATAATCTCTTCCAAAGATTGCAATGATAAAGTGTAGGTAATTAGATTTTCAATATTAAGTTTCCTTTTCATATTATTCCATTCTTTTAAAGTTTGGAATAATATTATAGACTCCTCTTCTGTTATACTCTTTATATCTTTATTCTTATTGAGATTATTCCATAACAAAGGTTCTAAATTATTTATCTTAATTCTATGTGTTTCTAATTTATACCAGGGTTGGTCCCTCAATTCAGTCCTTTGAAGATTGGTAGCATGTATTATCATATTAGCCTGATATGATAGCTTTATTAATGGATAACCGATTCCTCCATCCCTTCCATTTTTTTGATAGGGAAGTTGTATTAATCCTTGGTCTTTTCCCTCTCCGAATAAAATTAGTAAAGCTATTTTGGACCATATTGACCCAGTGTGGGGATATCTGCAAGGGAATCATCCGGAACATATAGGTCCATTTTGGTATTAAATAAGCTTTAAAGGTGTTCACCCTTCCCCACCATGAAATCTTGTATGATCTCCATTCCCTTAGTAATCCATTGGTTCCTTTTAGAAGTCTTATGAAATTTACTTCCATGCACCTTCTAGGGTCTGCCGTCAAGATTAAACCAAGATAGCTCACCTCTTTCGTGGTCCAATAAAATTTATATGATTGTTTCATTATGTGTAAGGTCGTACCTTGTATGTTATTTACTAACGCTATTGATTTATTAACATTTAATTTATAATTTGATATTAGACTAAATTTTTCGAACTCTTGCATCACAATTGCAAGGGAAGAATTGGGTTCGGATATTGATATAAGTATATCATCTGCATAAAGGCAGATCTTTAATGCATCACCAGTAACCGGTATTCCTTTTATTTCCCTATTTTGTCGTATTTTACAAGCAAATGGCTCGATTGCTAACACATATAACAAAGGTGATAATGGGCAACCCTGCCGGGTACCATTAGAAATTTTAAACCAATCAGAACATAAATCCCGTCCCACTACCCTTGCAGTGAGATTAGAGTATAAAGCTCCCACAGCTCCTGTCACGAGCGTGGGTTACAGGCCCAGCCGAGACAGTGGGGAGAGTGTGGAAGTGACAGGGTTAATGACACCAGACCCCTGGTTACCTGTTGCTAGTCCCAGCAACACTCAATTAACCACTGCAATTCCTTGTACACTAACCCCCTTAGTACACACTTTACTGCCACCACCAAGACTTTTACAACCGGGCGTCTTAGGTTACCCCCACACACAAGAGAATTATCGTATCACAGTTCTACTTTTACTGATAAAACACATATAGTTAACCCTTTTTGGTAACGTGTTTACCTGAGCTTTCCTCTGGAGAGTGAACTCATAGAGAACAGAGACACAAGCTGATTAAGTAAACATTTAATCTGACAAAAAAAGATTCACAGTGCTGAGTACAAAATACAGAAATAAATGGCATACAGATAACAAATTGCAAAACAGTACATAAAATAAAATAGGAGAAAACACAAGAAATGCCTTACATGTAGTTACCCCATATAGAATTCCTGTGGGAGTCTTAGATGGTAAAAGTTGCTGACAAAAGAAAAATGAATAACTGACTCTGGATAGTCCAACACCCTCATTAATATGTCTAAACTAGTTGTTTCTCAGTGGGCAGACCCCTGGGGGGGATCAGAGGGGGCTGGTCTGGCAGTCTATTGCCCACTCTATGCAATTCCTTGTGTCCAGCTCTGGTGATGGCTATCTAGATGTTTTATGGTCTAGGCCTGGTGCCAGATCAAAGACCACAATAAACGTCATCCCAAGGTTTACAAAAAAACAACAACTCTTAACATATATCAATACATCAAACACCAACTCATGCTTTTGGCATGACAGCTCCCATGAACCAACCTTCAAAACCAAAATGTAATAGAGACCTACTAAGAAAGCCCCAACTGACCCTGTCAAAGGCTTTCTCGGCATCTATCGACAGGGTCAGAAAGGGTGTATCGGTGTGTTGAGCCCAGTCCATGATCTCCAACATTCGTCTAAAATTATTACTGGATTGTCTCCCCGAAATGAAACCAATCTGATCAGAATGAATAATGGATGGAAGAATAGATTGTAGTCTCGCTGCTAATATAGCAGCAAATAATTTAGCATCCACATTCATTAAGGAGATTGGCCGATAATTATGAAGATCCGTTGGGGATTTCCCTGGCTTCAGTATCGGGGAGACGTGAGCTCTAAGTAAATCATAAGAGGCTTGACTTTTACTCGCAATTTCATTAAAAGTGACTGTCAGCATGGGAATAATTTGACATCTGAAAGTTTTATAAAATACATTTGTATAACCATCAGGCCCCGGAGCTTTTCTAGTTACAAGATTGTTTATTGCTCGTTCCACTTCTTCCGTGGATATGATCTTATTTAAGCTCTCTTTTTGAGCTAATGATATTTAGGGTAATTTAACGTTATTCAAATAATCCTCTAGTTGTTCTTTATTCGGACTAAAATTTAAATTATACAGTTTCTTATAAAAGTCTCTGAAGCTGTTCGCTATATCCTCTGGTTTAAGGATATTTTTGTCATCAACTACTAATTTGAAAATTTTCTTTTCCAGATTTTGTTTTTTTAATTTGTTGGTGAGCATAGCATCTATTTTATTAGACTTATAATGGAATTTGATGTTTAAATTATATGTTATTTTCTATCCTTTCAGAGATTTTTTTTATTAATCTTTTGTTGAATTTCCTTGATCTTATTTGCTCTTTCGGGTAAAAAATTGTGTTAACTTGCTGTGGATAAATTATAGAATTCAATATAAAGCTCTGAGAGCTTAGACTCTCTCATATGTTTGTTTTGACTAGCTATTTTAATGAAGTATCCCCTTATTACTGTTTTAAAAGAGCATCAGTCACATTCCTTAGATAGTTCTGGTGTTAAATTTTCTTTAAAGAATAAATCTATCAAATTTGAAATATTATCGATATTAATTTTGTTCTTCAATAGCGTGTCATATAATTTCCAGATCATAGGAGGTCTTTTATTTTTATCTTCTATTTCCATTATCACTAGGTCATGATCTGACCACGTATTGTATTTAATTATAATAGAAATAATGACATTTTAATATCCCCTAAGATCATATCTATTCTAGCTGCTGATTTGTGCGGAATGGATTTATGAGTATACTCTTTGTCATTAGGATTAAATAATCTCCAACAGTCATATAATTCATATTTTTTAATAGTTCTATTCATTGATGCTGCTTGTCTTTTACGCTTTTATCAATCACTTGGCCGGGGCAAACTTGCTTATCCATTATGGGATCAAGTATACAATTAAAATCCCCTGCGCTCATTAGCTCCCCTTTTTTAACTTTATCAACTAATCTCAAAATTTTATTCAAAGTATAGATTGGATTTTTATTGGGTAAATAAACATTTACTAATGTATACTCTACTCCATCTAGAAGGCCGACTAAAATAATAAATCTACTTTCAGAATCTAGATTCACATATTGACAGTCAAATTGAACCTCTTTAGAAAAGATAATACATACCCCACATTTCATTTTCTTTGAGATAGAAGCCTCATAGATTGTAGGATATTTTTTAAAATGCCTTTTTTTTTTTGAATCGGCAATCCAGTGGTTCTCTTGAATGAAACCCACTTGGATTTTTTCTCTGATCAAGGTGTCAAATAGCATACATCTCTTAACATGGGAATTAAGACCTTGCGCATTTACCGAAATGAATCTAACCATGGTCAATTTCTATTTTCCTTCTCTCCCATATTAAGACCGAAAATGTTTCCATCATCCACACACTAACATTCATACCACATATAATCGCAAACATCACGTTTGGATAATCCAACATAATCCAAGTACTGGGTGCCCTAAAGGTACCCTCGGGGAAAGGCAAGACATCCCGGAATGTAAAAAAGCCTAAACATTCAGAAGATGGAAAAATTTAAATAGAAAGAGAGCCTCAGAAGTTCCTCCTCATATTCTAATTTTCCTTCGTTTAACATATTGTGTTTAGGAAAGAGAGAGAGAAAAAATAAAAAAAAAAGAGAATAAAAAGACACATCCTCTTAACCGAGAATAAAAACACACATCCTCTTAACCGCATCTTTGTTTCCATTCATTATTTTCTGTCAATAAACTGCTCTACTTGTGTCTAAATATTCATCTTTCATAAATTATTTATATACTTTCAATCTTGCAAACTCCTACATAACATACATTCCTTATTAGGAAGAGTTATAATAGATCAATTACCTATGTGATTCTAATATTAAATTATAAGACATTGAATATATCTTGTGTTAATGTTTTTCAGTGTCAAAATAAGTGTAAAAATCTCCCTTGAATCTTGAAAAAAAAAAAACTCTTATTCTATAAAATATTCAAATATAACATAATTACCATATTACAGATATAACCTATACACTCTACATGACACCTTTCACTTATTACTTAAAGTTTTTATCATCCCAAATATCTCGCTTAGGCCTTGCCCCTATCGTGGGGCACTGCATATTACCCATGTATCTTAATATACATTCAATTCTTACTTATTTAAACGTATATGTAGTAAGGGCAAATACACATTTGACCCCATTCATTACATTAAAAAAAAAAACATCATTGTGACTTATAAGAGTGTCATTGGGTATATAAAAAAAAAAAAAAAAGTCATTTGTTTTAAAACTTTTTCTCTCTTTTTTTTCATTTCCTCCAGTTAAGCGAATTCTTCTCATTCTAAGACATGTTGTTTGTAGTTAACCATTCAGTTACTTGAGCCGATGATTTAAATACTTTCCAAGAGTCATTATAAAGGATAAGCAGCAAGGACTGTTGATTCCATTTGAATTTTAGGTTGTGATTTTTCAAGGAAGGTAAAATCGGAGAAAATACAGATCTCCTTACTCTTGTTGTAGGAGAAACGTCTGTAAGTACTCTTACTGCTTTGAATTTAATCTCCGAGAGGCTCTTTTTCTTTGCTGTATAAAAAATCAAAGTTCTAAATTCAAAAGACTGAAATGCCACAATAACATCCCGAGGATATTTCTGTTCTTATCTTTTGTAAAAAAGCCTATGGCAACGGATCATTTTTGAATCATATTGATCAATATTAATTCCTAAAGCAATGATATATTCTATCAGATATTCTTTTAGGTGGAGATCTGAAATATCTTCAGATAAATTCCTAAATCTAAGATTCATTTTTCTAGATCTATCCTCTAAAGCGCATATTTTATCTTCCATTTCACTCAGTTTAGTCTTAGCCTTATCCTGCGACTCTATCATCTTGATCAATTGCGTTTCTCTTTCTTGATCTTTATCTTCTAATTTTTTAATTCTTTCACCTATTAAGACCAGATCTGAAATTATTTCTGTAAATTTATCATTCAGCTCATTTTTGATGTCTTTTGACATCTCTTCTAAACAGGCTTTTAGTATAGATTTGGTTACTGTATCTTTATCCATAGAGGGTGTTGGTGGGGTTAAAAGGGCTGCAGGGGATAGTTCAATAGTAGATTTTTCCAATATTTCCGGATTATCTTGGGGGACAAAAAAGGCTGATAATCCTTTTTCATTTTATCAGACTTAGATGTCAGTTTAGCCTCTTGTGATTTTTTTGACATTTTCTTTTTCCCCTTTCCTAACACTTCTCTCTCCTTTTCTCCCCCTTTTATTTTCTTCTTTTTCTCTCTCCCTTCCTTTTTTAAAGCTCTGGAAATTATATAATGGATCAAGGGCTAGGGGGGAGATTTATTTATTCAAGCTATATATACTCTGCAAACTTCTAATCAGAGCTAACAGCTCAGAGCTGACAAAATCTCTGATGTAATTTTCTTATTTAGTTGACTTAGTCTCATCCCTTTTTAACCACTTCAGCAACTTGTGGTGGGAGGGAGAGGGGCACTAGAGGGTCCTGCAGTGCCAGGAAAACAAATGTTTTCCTGGCACTGGAGAATCCCTTTAATATACTAATTATTGTGACATATTCTAATTGCCAGCATGACTCTTGTTAACAAGCTTTTTAATACTTTTTCAACACACTATCAAACGCAAGAGATTTTCATTTTTTAAGAGTGAAAGGGAGTTTGTTTAATGCTTACTTAGGTTCATTGAATTTATGTTGGAATTCTGCTTTAAGGGTTTACTATAGTGTCAGGAAAACAAAGCGGTTTTCCTGACACTATAGTGTCCTGAGGGTGCCCCCACCCTCAGGGTCGGCCTCCCGTGGCACTGAAGGAGTTAAAACCCCTTCAGCCACTTACCTTAATCCAGCGCCGGGCTCCCTTGGCGCTGGTGACCTCTCCTCCCACTCCGACGTTAGCTCCCCTGTCAGTCACTAGAGCCGCATGTGCGGCAAGTGCCGTGCGCGCATTCAGAGTGTCCATAGGAAAGCAAAATATGCCTCCAACATCACAGATGCGCCTATAGGCTGGATTAACCCCAAATGTAAACATAGTTTCTCTGAAACTGCTATGTTTACATCTGAAAGGTTAAAACCTGAGGGACCTGGCATTGAGCTGAAGTGGTCTGGGTGACTATAGTGTCCCTTTAACACATTATTTCTCTCCCTGTTTGAGCTTCTATCTTGATTGATCTTGGGTTCCTATCAGATTCACCTGACAGGAGAAATGAAGGCTGCTGTGAATGATCACACACAAAATGGCACCGAAGACTGGAGGAGAAAGGAATGATGTCCAAGTAGAATTTTTAAAAGTATGCATGATTATATGAAGTCCTCAATTCCACAACAGTTTTCCTTTTTTTTGTTTATTGTATTTTTAAGAGGTACTCAATAATTTGTATTTATTGAATATTTTAGTGCAAATCTATAAACAACAGAGTGATCTAAACAATAATGCTGGTAGGAAAAATAAAACATTTCAGTGTAGCGTAGCAGCAATATTATTTTGTACAATTTCCGAGGCAGTGCTGACATAAGCAACTATCTCTGCTTCTTAGAAGTTTATACTGTCTTAAAAACCAGTAACTTGTATCTATAGAAGTTGAAACTGGCAATCAGAAGCAAAACACCACATTCTATGTAATTACAGGAGCAAAACAAAACACGTAAAAATGGATCATTGCTGAATATAACGCATTATATGTTAAAGAAACACTACGTGCTCTATAACTAATACAGCTTGCTGTAGTAATCACGGTGGCAGGAGTGCCATGGTACCTCCCCAGAGTTAGTAGTCCAATTATTTGCTAATGGTTTGATAATTTACTTAGGGGGGCTGGTCTCAGCCTTCTGTAGTACTGGAAGCTCCACTGAGCTAATCCCTGCAATGCAGGTCTGGCTGATTGGCTGAAATCATAATCTGAGTCTAACCCTGCACTTGGAGATGGTTCAGTGCAGAGAACTTCTAGCTCCACAAGTGGAGGTGCCCAGTGGAAAGTTCCTAACTATTTACAAACTGTTTAACTACTTAATCTGGGAGGGTAACAGGACTCTTGAATAACCATAACCACTAAGCAGCCTGTTGTGGATATGGTGCTCTGAGTTATTTTTAAGTACAAATTCTCAATAACTGGGCAAAATGTCACAGAAATTATTTTGCTGTTTCACTTGCCAAATTAGGATGTAAACTTAAATGTTTATATAAATAAAAGTATTGGGAAAAAAAAAAAAGGTATTTCCAAAGAGAAAAGGGAGAATAGTTAACACAAACACTGTACTTTAACAAGCGGTCAGGAATCGTCATCCAAGTGCCTGCACCACATGTGGAGGATTGCATTAATTATAAGGATAACATGATGAACCAGGAATCAAGTGCTAGCAACTCCTAGTTATAATAGACCATGCATTGCCATAAATAAAAAAATAAAAAATAGTGGTCTGTTTCAATTTATAGTTTTTACTTGGACCTAAACTGCAGTTTCCAAAGCAGAATAAATGCAGCTACTTTCCATTACAGCCTTGTGTTAGAATAGTGTGTGTGTATATATATATATATATATATATATATATATATATATATATATTATATATTTTTTTAAATCAGTGCAAACGCTAGTGCTGACAGCTGAAGGCAATCATGCTCTAGTCAAGTGCCTTCTTTTTCCTTTAGCTCAATGAAGCTAAAGAAAAAAAACAACTCAGGCTGTCTGATAGCATTCATTTTAAACTTAATCCTTTTTTTTTTGTTACATGTAAGTAAAATTAGGGACTACCTTTTGTTGTGGGGGGCATATGATCTCAAATAAAGGAAAACTCGCCTAAAACGTCTTTTTAATTTTATGATCTTTACATTAAGTTTTGAAAGCAAATCGATTTTTTTTGTTAAACGAAGAATATGTAAAAAAGATAAACTCATTCCCACCTTAATATTTGGCAGGATCCTTCAATCGTATACATACACCATATGTCAGACAGTGTTTTAATTTGACAGTCTGATTGATGCGGTCTATGCAGGGAGTGAAGCAGAGAAGACCATAGAGACTAACTGTTTACAAACAGTCTGACCCAAGGTGTGTTTATATGGATCCTATCAAATACCAAAAGTAGGGATGTTTTTTTTTTTTTTTAAATACTTTATTTAACAAAATTGCTTTCCTTTCAAAACTTGATGAATTATGTTGAAAATACTTTTCAGGTGACAGTTTTTTTGTTGTTTTTTTTTTTTTAAAGCAAAGCTCCATATCCGTTACTAAGCTGATTTATCCACAATACACCATGAAAGCGAAGATGCAGATATCATTGGCACTTCTATTTCCAGGTATTGCAATTTAGCACAAGGAACAAAAGATAATAATTATAAGACAAGCGTCAAAGAGGGGAGTATGCTTCTTTGAATTACATAGATAGCTAGAGAATCATGGGAGTTGTAGTTCAGCAACATCTGGGGGCCAGAGTTTGAGGACCCCTGCTTTAAGCCAATTATATTTTCTGTAGTAGAGGAGAAAGGGCTTTACTGCCTCTTTATTAATATTTACAATGTGCTAAACCAGGGGTGGGCACCCAGGTATTGTGTGACTACATCTCTCCTGATGCTTTGCCAGCATTATGGGAGATGTAGTTCTCCACATCTGGAGTGCCAAAAATCACCTACACATGTAAGCAGCTAAACCATAAATGATCTATTTAAAAATAGAAAAAAGTATCTGTAAGTAGCTTTTTACACAAGAATTGTGCATTTTAATATGCAATCTGTAAATATGACATTCTTGAATGTAGCTAAAATATATTCTAACGGAGACAGATGATAGCCAGTTAGCTATTCAAATATGTACAATAAAATTATAATAGCAGCCTGCTACGTGCAGTTTTAGAATAAAAAAAAGTAATATATACCAGCTTTTGTAGTGAGGTTTCCTGGACGAGAACACAGCTCAGGCAATGCTCATTTTGTTCAAATGAATGTATGCGTACAACATTTAATACAGCTCAATAAAAGTGCTTACAGCTGCATAAGTTACCTTTCACACTAGAGTGCAGCATACAACAGCTAAGTCACTTGCACTAGATCTTGCCGGAGTTAACTTCTTGTTCTTCTGACCTTCGGGATGTTGTTTGTTGACAGTCAGATATCAGGCAGGCATGGCCAGAAGCAACAGAACAAAGTGAACGTTTATGGTTATTTTTGTGTAGATCTCACTAATGTATTCACCAAACTAAAAACCTTTTGAGAACGGACACGGGAAAATTGCAAATCTCAGGCAAACTAAATGAGCAGGAAAAGCTGTTTTGTTCCTCTTCTTCAGCCTGGTAGTGTCCTAAAATTGGTTAATTGTACATAATGTCTGTTCTGTTTTAAAAAGGCCACTTTTAATGCTGGCAGATATTCAACTGGTAATTTCATCAGAACTTTTATTATATGAAATTGTATTATTGTTTTAAAGTGATTTATGGAAATACACTTTCAACTCGTAGAGCACCTTTAAATACTCAATTATTTCCATGTGACTATAAAGATGTTTCAAATAAAAGGAGGCAAAACATATTTGTTAGGCTATTAGTCCAATTTCTTTTTACGTTAAAAGGCTTGACCTTATCTTCTCTCAGTGACTTCTGAGATTTTGGAGTTTATTTTATAATGTAATTCTGAATCGTATCTCTAAAAGTGGTTGTCACCATGGAAACCAATGAAAGATTCCTGATGAATACTCCACTTTTAGCACTCAGACCCAGAGCTGTTCCTGATACATGACCCTCATGATGTCCAAAATGGCAGAAGTAAGCTACTACAGACATACCCCACTTTTAAGTATACTATGGGACCAGAACATGTATGTAAAACTAAAATGTACTTGAAGTTAAGCAATACCTTTTGTTTCCACTTCCCAATGCATGTACTGCATTGCAATAGTCATTTACAGGCATAACTGATACTGCAACAAAATATCATTTCACATGGTGCCATTTATCTTTAATGCTGTACTTATCTGACAACCTTAAAGGACCACTCTAGGCACCCAGACCACTTCAGCTTAATGAAGTGGTCTGGGTGCCTGGTCCAGCTAGGGTTAACCCATTTTTTAACAAACATAGCTATGTTTCAGAGAAACTGCTATGTTTATGAATGGGTTAAGCCTTCCCCCTATTCCCTCTAGTGGCTGTCTCACTGACAGCCACTAGAGGCGCTTGCGTGCTTCTCACTGTGATTTTCACAGTGAGAGCACGCCAGCGTCCATAGGAAAGCATTGTAAATGCTTTCCTATGAGACCGGCTGAATGCGCGCGCAGCTCTTACCGCGCGTGCGCATTCAGCCCAGGAGGAGGATCGGAGGAGGCAGAGAGCTCCCCGCCCAGCGCTGGAAAAAGGTAAGTTTTTACCCCTTTCCCCTTTCCAGAGCCGGGCAGGAGGGGGTCCCTGAGGGTGGGGGCACCCTCAGGGCACTATAGTGCCAGGAAAACGAGTATGTTTTCCTGGCAATATAGTGGTCCTTTAAACTGGGAGGAAAGTAAAATAAACCTGCCCACTGGGCTATTTTCTGTCAATACAGTGCCAATTTGTATTTGTTAGCAGCTTAGTTGCACACTTTGTTTAGAAACACCTCTTCATCAATTTAAGCACTTATGGTTTAACTTTGAATCCTCAGAATTGTGGCTAAGCTGCTAAGTCATAGTTCTAGAAAATGTCAGGGTAAACCCTTTCACTGGATAGCAGCAGATTGCAGAATATGGACAATTTATGGGCAGAAAAAAAATAAAAAATAATATATATATATATATATATATATTTATATTTTCAGCGAGGAGTAAGCATTATAAATTTGCCCTAACATGTTTGAGGTTTACAGATCCTAACCCAAATCATATAACAAAAACAGAGATGATTAAAGGGACACTATAGTCACCCAGACCACTTCAGCTCAATGAAGTGGTCTGGGTGCCAGGTCCCTCAGGTTTTAACCCTTCAAATGTAAACATAGCAGTTTCAGAGAAACTGCTCTGTTTACATAGCAGGGTTAATCCAGCCTCTAGTGGCTGTCTTCGTGACAACCGCTAGAGGCGCTTCTGCGATGCTGGATGCGATTTGATTGAGAAATGCTTTCCTATGGACTGTTTGAATGCGCACGCAGCTCCACTTGGGAGCTGACGGCGGTGGAGGAGAGGTCACCAGCGCTGAGGGAGCCTGGCCCTGGATTAAAGGAAGTAACCGAAGGGGTTTGTTTTCCTGACTCTATAGTGATCCTTTAACCTGTGGCATGTCAGAGGGTGTGAAAATTTCTTGCCCCAATGATACTGAACTGAGCTGCTCCAGGCGAGAATAGAACCTTCCATTTCCTGTTCCCTTGCTGACAGAAGAGACGCGGGAATGTCTGTACTCGGAAGGCACCTTTACGTACACTCGCGGGTATGTCTGTACTCGTGAGTGTATGTAAAGCAGTGGATATCACTTGCCATCAAAAAGGGGTATATAAATTGCACTGTCTTCCATTACAACCTCTTCTGAATTAGTTCTGGATAAATCCTAACAAATGACAGTCACCTATGTTAGATTGGCAGACATAGATTACAGCTCCTGCCATGCTCACACAGCCTGTGGCAAGGACACTTGTAACATCACATGGGAAGAATTGATTCAGAGGTTATTTAGTAAACTGGAACTTATACATGAAAATTGCAAATATTGGGCCATAATAGCCAAGCTAGAAAATTTCCAAGATGGAGATTTCTCCCCCTTCCCCTATTTGGTTAAAATCAATTACCAGTTTACAGAACAACAATGTTTAAACGGCTGAGCTCCGAGTCAGCCCCTTAGAGCAGTCAATTGTGTAGCTCAGAATAGGAGTTAGGGGTTGTCTGTGTTAATTTTGTTCAAGTTTTGCTTGTGGCGCAATAGCTTCTTGTATTCCACAAAATAGTTAACTAGGCTATGGGTAAACTGATAGCAGTTGCCCTCTCTTTAAAATTAGTGGGACACTTTATTATATCTGACAATTCAGCATCAAAATGTCTTATGTTTGTATACAGTGAAATGTTTAATGGATGTATAACCTTTATTATATGTAAATAAATTAACCTAACCAGAAAATCCATGCTTTCATTTTATATCCCTGGGAATGAGCACCCATGGCTTTGCAATCGATTTGGTCCTTTATGCCTTTCTGGCACACAAAGGGTTAAATAAGTCACTGTCCACCTGACACTAAAGCATAAAAAAAAATATATAAATCTGCAGAAGAAAAAAAAAAAAAATGCATATAGGTTATGTATGCAGGAATAAAACAATTAGTCTCTTCTTACATAAAATACATTATATCCAAGTTCACCCAGTCCTCCGATCAGCAAAATCCAGAAAGGTATAAAGACAAAGCATAAGTACATATTTGCAAATTGCTCAAGTCTGGCACATAAAGCGAGGCAGAACGCCAATTTCAAGAGCATAGCTGTGAGGTACCAGGACTTTTTCTTCATATTCTGGGCTTCATTCCTAGGGTCATAGCCTGATTTACATCTACCTGCCATCTTTACAATGAGCATGACCAGGAGTATAGTGTCAAATATCCAGATGGGAATAAAAATGATGAACCAATTCCATGGTGCCTTCTCATCCAGCTTTAGTACTAGCATGATCAGGAATAGCAGGCTAAACAGCCAGGTGAGCAGCACTCTCTGAGCCAGGGACATTCTCATTTAAACTGATTTTGAGGAGTTCCGTTTCCAGATGAAGTTCTCCTGTTCGCCTCTGTTCAAGCAGGATAGCAGTCAATGTGCATATAGGACAAGTTGATTGTTAAAGCCTGCAGCTCCAAAGGCCATGTTTGTTAAAGAAACCCTTCTGGTCTTTAAGATGCACTCAAATACAGATCTATAAATAAATTAAGACAGAAAAATATCAATTAACCTATGAGATTATATAATATATTATAACGTTAAACGTTTATTTTTGCCTGTTTTAGTTTCCCTGGCGAGTTGCCTTTTTTTTAGCAAAAAAAAAAAAAGGTAACTAAGAGGGATTTAAAGATTTTCATCTAACATTTGGTAGCCTCGCTTGAACTAGTGTCCTTGCATGTGTAATAATTGTATTTTTAATAACATCTGTAAAATAGTCTTCCACACATATGATAAATGTAAACCTATGACTTTGGAGGTCAACTTCTATATGGCAGTAGTGATCATCTGATGGTAGAGCCTTCAAATGCCAGAAAAACAAACCAAAATTTATGAAGGCAGGAATGGGAAATTCCTACCAGTTTTGGTCTAAAATTTGCAACTGTGCTATCTTCAGTGTATTTAGTCTGGTCTAAACCTTGCAATTTCCTGGTCATATAAAGCAATATATTAATAAGAATAATTTGTGAATGGATTGCTTTAACATAAAATGAAGTCCATGCTATGACAGAAGCTAATTTTATTTTGTTCTCTTTCTTGCAAAAGTTGTTCCGCTAATCAGGTAAACACAAATTAAACTTAAATTCTGCACAATGTAAGCAAGCAAATTTATGCTATCTGGACAAGGTCACAGTTGTTAAAGAAGACAAGTCTTTTTGCAAGGTCCCCCCAGCTGGCATAGCAGCTTGCTAAAAAAGCCTTATGTGGGGGAAGGGATGAAAAGTTATTAGCCCTTCCTCCATGGTCTCCACCATATATCTTTTTTAACTCTGCCAGGAGTCACATGACCTTTGTGCATGAGTAAAATCAAATCATGTCTTTGGAATATTAAGACTGCAGCATAGGCAGCTTGTCATAAGGATCATCTTAAAGGACTACTCCAAGACCAATCACAACTTGCTCTCAATTAAGCAGTTCTGGGATCTAGAAGTCTTGGCAGCCTTAACCCACGATATCTTGTGACTGTGCTTGTCTGCTCGGCCCCTCTGCCTCCTCCTCCAGCCCTGGTACTAATTAAGAAGCTTCTCCATTTGCAATCCCTTTAAAGCTGGCACTAGCACTTGCAGCAGCTTGGAACGAGGTTCTATTTTGGTAAGTTTACAGCTTTGCTCAACTTTGTTAGGACGAATTTTGTACTAATAGGTGTGTTTGTATGATTGATCTAATATAATTGACAGTATGCCATATAATTTTTCTGTTACTTTAAAATCTCAGTAATTCCACATACTAACAAAATGCTTCCTACTACAAAGTAACTCAAAATGTTTATGGCATACTCCTAAGAATCATTGCATGTCCTATTTTTACTTTACATTCATAAAATGCACATTTGTACGTTAATTTGACACCCAAAGCACTGTTTTTTTCCCATTCAGAATAAAAATTATTTATGGATTTGATAATTTATATAATCTTTTAATGTACTATGTGAACACACTCCCCAAATGTGTTTATTTTGTGTCACAAGAGAACTACAAATAAAAATTTTTACAAAAAATATATATAAATAAATAAATATATATATCACATTCCGGTCTCAGCTGAACTTAAATCTCAACCTCCAAGAACTATTGCTACAAAAACACAAGTTTTAATGCTTGAATCACTGGTATAGTAAAATAAAAAAATAAAAATCTGACTCCTTATGGCAGCCATTCATATTAATTTGGAAATAGTATTGCCAGATCAACAATGTTTTCTAGGTCAGTATATAAATGAGTGCTACCATGTTGTATGTATTCTGCATAAGGGAGCTTAGTAAAGGGCACTCTAAGCACCCCATGACCACAACAACCAACATAACCATGAATGTCTGCTTAGTGTTTGTGGTGCCAGGAGGTCAAAGTCATTAGTCAAACTGTTTGACAACTTACTTGGGTCCATTATGTGCCTATGCTGCATCCCTTCTGTGCTAAAAAAAAACCACTGGGGATGTGCTCACTTCTTGAGATCACCCAGCTGACATGCTCAGCTAATGAGAACAGCCCTGCTTAAAGGAATACCAACAGAATTATTCAGTAAAGTGAGAATTCAAAGGGAAATACAAATTCAAGGTAAAATTTAACTAGGCAAATTCTCTGAGATATGCTACTTTGGCCTTAAATATGAAATTCACTCTAGTGAATAACCCTGTTGAGCATTAGGCATACAAACCTGTATGCCCAACACTATAGTGCTCTCCTTTTTAAAAGGGACACCCCAGACCCCTAAAGTATTTTACCATGCTGAAAAACAGTTTTTATCATTTTGCCAAAAATTTAAATTCCAATAGAAATGAACACTTTTATAAGTTATATTGGTTACACTCCCCCAGACTTTTCATTTTTTCCATAAAAGTACAAACATAAAATGTTTTGCAATACTTACAGGAGAACAAAAAAGAGAAAAAACAACAAGACTTTACAGTAATAGCTACAAGGTCCCCCCTGGCTTTTCAAGCAGACAACAGGTTCGGTTACTTCCTGGTATGGTTAGCTTAATTGCACTGAACTCAAGAGGCAGTATTTGCCCAGAGCACCTGACTTGCAAAGACTTCTCATTGAGCTGTATTGGGAAGTCTGTGCAGGGTTAGAAGAGGAGGGCTTGTAAAGGCAGCAGACACGAGATATGCAGTTTTTGCAAGCAGTTATTGGATATAATCCAAATTAAAAAAAATATATATAGTTAAATACATGCAAGTTTTCCTTTGGGCTACATCTACTAAACAATGATTTTATTAATTCTGTATTTGGGCAGTGGAGAGTCCCTTTAAACTAAGTGCTCCTTTAAATCTACAATAAAACAAAAATAAAGGGTGTTACAATTTTTCTCCAGGGCAAAGATAAGAGTCCCTGCCGCCTCACCAACATTTTTAATAGTCTCCGATCCAATGCTCATCATAGGTCCCCCCCCTCCTTTTTTTTTTAACTGTATTTCCGATAGATACCTTACCAATGTATAGGTATTAAAACTATTACATAAAATAAGCAGCTTTGAGGTCTCTCTATCATCATTAATACAATACTTCTTTACTTAAAGGACCACTCTAGGCACCCAGACCACTTCAGCTTAATGAAGTGGTCTGGGTGCCAGGTCCAGCTAGGGTTAACCCATTTTTTTTAATAAACATAGCAGTTTCAGAGAAACTGCTATGTTTATTAATGGGTTAAGCCTTCCCCCAAAGCCTCTAGTTGCTGTCTCATTGACAGCCACTAGAGGCGCTTGCGTGCTTCTCACTGTGATTTTCACAGTGAGAGCACGCCAGCGTCCATAGGAAAGCATTGTAAATGCTTTCCTATGCGACCGGCTGAATGCGCGCGCAGCTCTTGCCGCGCGTGCGCATTCAGCCGTCAGGGCGGAACAGAGGAGGATCGGAGGAGGAGAGCTCTCCGCCCAGCGCTGGAAAAAGGTAAGTTTAAACCCCTTTCCCGAGTATTTTTTTTAATACATCCGTTTGACCCATCTATTCCCTCTTTATTTAATTGCTTTTTGTCGGACATGGAAGGCGGGTGTATGAGGAAAACCCCTTGCCACTTCATTACATAACATACTATTCATCTCTCTGTCCCCCTCCGAGATTTAATTCCATTTACCTAGATGGGAGACCCTCTATGATCGTTTTATTTCAAAAATTCTAATTTATCTATCCAAGTATCCCAATATTCTATTTGCGTGTAGCGATTTTTTAAGCTCACTAAGATACTTCTTTCCATTTTTGCTTGCCATATTACTTGTGCTATCACTTCTCGGGTGGATGGGATTTGTACATTTTTCCAATTCCGTGCTATCAGTAATTTGGCTGCTGTAATGATGTGTAAAATGAACATTGAATCCTTGATCTTCATTTTTGACTCAATTAAATTTAATAAAATTATTCCTGGATCCATTGTTAATTTATTTCCTGTCATAATCAATTAATGTAATTATTTCTTTCCAATAAGTATATATCGGTTGGCAGTACCACCATATGTGTAATAAGGTGCCCTTATCAATGTTGCACAGCCAACATCTATTGGATGTATTTGCATATATTTTATTTAGAAGATTCGGTGTCAAGTACCATCTATTCAAAAGTTCAAACTGTAGATCTGTCAAATTAAAGCAGTGGACGTTTATATAATTTATTAAAATAAACTTTTCCAAACTTCCTCATCTATTTGTATAGGAAGATCTTTTCCCCACTTTTCAATTGCTCTGGAAAGTTTATCATGTCTTAACTTATATAAGACTTTAACAGATCTAGACAGCATATTTTTACAGTTTTTTAGTTTGACAAGTTGAATAAGCCAGTCTATTTTACATTCTTTATTCTTAAATCATATACGCTGAGACAAACACTTATTCTAAGGTAGTTAAATATATCATTTGGTGGGATACAGAATTCCTCACTTATTTGTTGAAAGGGCTTGATTTTATAATCCTCTGTTATATCTATGATTTTAATTTATTCCCTTGCTCTTCCAAGAGTTGATCTTAATATTATCTAACAATCACCAAGATTGGTAGTGCACCTATTATTCTATTCTTTAGTGTGACTTTTTTTCCAAATATATCCCACCGACCTGCTACATATCTAATTATATGTGATTTGGATCTTGCCTCAGCTATAAAAATGTTTTTATTGAGATCTAAAATACAGAATAGAGAGGATAAATTCTCTACACCCTTGCTGTCTCGCTCTATTGAATACCATTTTTCCTTTTCTGCAGATGTATTCTGTGATAACATTATATGAAACAGTCTATGGGCCTGATAACACTTATGGATTTCTGGGCAACTCATCTGGTCTTATCCTGGCTAAATTTTTCATTTTTACTCTTGTTTTTTTTCCCATACCAGACAAATTTTAAAAAAGAGGCATGTAACATTCGTAACCAATTTTCAGGGCAGTTAATAGGGATCATTCTCCATAAACAGAGCCATTTTGGTAAGATATAAGCCCTAAGTATAAGGATTCTGCCTGACCACGAGAATCCCAACCCCCTCCAATCCCGTAAGTTTTTATTGGTTTGTTTTAATAAAGGTAAGAAATTAGCTTCTATTAACTATTACTTCTGATGTAATGGTAATACCCAAATATTTCAAAAAAAATTTGTCCTTTGGAAGTCCAAACATTTCTATAAGGATCTCTTACTGATCTCTTACTCATGTTCTTGGCTATAACTACTGATTTGTCTAAATATATTCTATAACCTGATACACTAGAGTACCTATTTATATCATTTAAAACACTTCCCGAATAGAGGTCTCTGGCTCTTCAAGGATCAGTAGTATATCATCCGCATAGATATTTAGTTTAACCTGCCCCAACAGATCTCTATAGCCTGTAATTTTTTTATTTTGTCTTATTTCAATGGCTAAAGGTTCTAATATGTATAACAGTGGGTCCACTTGCCTGTGGAGAGTCAGAGAGAGCAGATACCGCTTTTAGAATTGGACCTGTAAATCCAAATTTTTTTTAATGTGGCTGACATAAAGGCCCACCATACCCTATCAAACGCCTTCTCTGCGTCTATTGATATGAGCGTGAGTGGGATCCTTTTGGTCTCTGTTGCCTCCAAAATGTCTATTACTTTCCAAATATTGTCAACTGATAAAACCGACCTGATCGCTGTTAATGAGATCTGGTATGAAAGATTTCAGTCGTTTCGCAAGAATCAACGAAAAGATTTTGATGTCTGTGTTTAAAATATATTATATATATATATATATATATGCTCTCAATAACTCCAGGGCATCTTCCTGTATTTATCATGTAATTAAAAACATTTGTGAGTTATTTTAATTAATCTTTCATTATTTTATAACATTTATTCGTAAAGCCATCTGGGCCTGGGGCAGTTTGTTATTTAAGCTTATCTATTGCTTTAATAAAGTCTGTTTCGGATTGGTCAGGAAGAATTTTGGACATATTTATACTTTCAAATAATTTTTAATTTCTTCATCACTACCAAATAAATCCTCTGGTAGGTTATATAGACCTCTATAGACTTTTTTCTAATGCTCCGCCTATTTGTTTTGGGGCCATAATGTATGTATCTTTATCCCTAATTCTATATATCACTTATTTTTTCCTTTTTCAACTTCCTTAGTCATAACCACTTCTGGCTTATTGCCTTTTTGGTACCATTTAGATTGGAAAAAAAAATCTAAAGTTTTTGCTATTTTATTGGATAATTGAAAATGTATGTTCTATTTCTGTAGAAGGTGTTATTTTATTGTGTTTCTTATATTCATTTAGGGCTATGTATAGCTCTGAAAGTGGGTGGGGACTTATTTATTTTCCATTCTAGCTGCCATCCCCATCAGGTGGCCTCTAATTATGATTTTGTAAGCACACCATACTACAATATCTGATGTCCCCTTATTTTTGTTTTCCAAGTAAAATAGTTCAGTTATAATTTTTTTTTTTTTTTTAAATCGGTTCAATATTATAGTTTTTATATATTATCGTTCAATCGCCAATCTTTACGAAACTTGACAAAAGTGTCTTTGTAATCCAGTATGGTTGGGTTATGGTCTGACCATGTTATATCCTGTATTACGATCTTTTTAACAAGGTATAGCATGGCCACATCCCCCAAAATAAGATGGATTCTAGAGTAGGAATTGAATGTTTTTGAGTAACATGTGAAGTCCAACTCCAATGGATGAAACGTTCTCCAAATATCCAATATTATATTGAGCTATCAAGTTTTGTAATCTATCTGAAGTTCCTTTATTGATCTTTTTTTTTTCCCATTATAGTTCTTCCTATCTTTAAAAGGGTCTATTACACAGTTGAAATCACCCATATTTAATAGCACCCTCTGTTTGATTTGATCAATTTTCTTCATAATCTTTGTTATAAATTTTATAGTAGACTTATTAGGAGCATATATATTAGCTAAAGTAAAAAGTTTATTATTTATTTCGCACACCAGGATAATATATCTTCCTTCCTTATCAAGATCTTGGAATTTAATGTTTATGGATATATTTTTGGAAAACAAATGCCAACCCCTCCCGGATAATTAATAGATCTTATATTAATTTTGTCAGTTTTTATCCAATGTGTTTCTTGTAATGCACAAACTTGTATTTGGGTTTTCTTCAGGAAATCCAGAATTAGGGATTAGAGATGTCGCGAACTGTCCGCGAACAATAGCGTGTTCACGTTGGGCGAAAATATCCGATTTCCGGTCCGCCCCCTATACGTCATCATTGAGTAAACTTTGACCCGGAACCTCACAGCCAGCAGACACATTCCACCCAATCAGCAGCAGACCCTCCCTCCCAGGAAGTGTCTGCTGACTGTGAGGTTCCGGGTCAAAGTTTACTCAATGATGACGTATAAGGGGCAGACCGGAAATCGGATATGTTCGCCCAACCTCACCTGCTGTCTGCCATTTCTAAATGTATTTGTTTTTATTCTGCTAGTGTATATACTTCTTTATATTGTGTACATCTATAAATCATTCATCACAACCAAAAAAAAAAAATAAATTAAAAAAAATCCGCAGATGCCTTTCCTTCCCCTTCCTCTCTTTTTACTTTATTTCTCACCTTTTTTTCTCCCCTCCTATTTCCTAGCAAAGAAGTTATTGATCTGTTGGTTCTTTATATCTCTTTACTTAGAATCAACCAACGTTTAAGATCTTCTGCAGTATTGAAGCTTAAGGTCTTGCATTCATGCAATATAAAGATCTTTGTGGGAAACCCCCACCAGTATTTTATATTCTTGGATCTGAGTTCTATTGTACTATCTGCAAAGGACTTCCTATTCTGTCTGGTATTCCATGACAGGTCCTGGTAGACCTTAAATGCTTCATACTCTCCTGAAAGATTGATCTTTTTCAGTGATCTCAGGATCTGTAACTTGAGTTTAAAAGAGGAACAACAAACCAATATATATCTTGGGAGGCGGTCTGGTACGCCTTTGTGTTTGTTAACTTTGTGACACCTTTCCATCATAGGGCTTTTGATATCCCATTCCACTTTCATATATTTAAAAAAAAAAAAAAAATTATATGTATTTCCAATTCTGTTGTCTTTATTTGTTCGGACACACCTCTAATTCTTAGGTTGTTCCTCCTTGATCTGTCCTCCAGATCTAAAATTTTAATTTTCCAGATCTGCTATTTTTCTTTCCAGAATGACTTTCTTCCTGGTGGGAGTTACACACTTGTTCGATCATCTCTAGTTTTTCTTCAATACTTTGGATCCTTGGGGTTAATAAGGAAATGTCTCTCTTGATGTCCTGTGTATTTGCTTGCATTCCACCTCAATTTTCGCAAATTGTGTGTCTGGATGACTGAGTAATCGTTCATATAGGTTTTCTTCCTGTCTTGAGTTGTCATATGCCTCCATTTGTGTACTGCTCGTTTCTCCTTCTATCGGATTAGTTATCTGGTGTGGCACATCTAAATTTGATTTATTCCCAGGCGGTTGGGGTGAAAAGAAAAACTTTTTTCTAGATGACGTTCCTTTTTTTTTTACCCCCCCCCCTTTTCTTCAGGTGTTTGCCATTTTGCGTCTTTTTGGTGGCCATATTTTCTGCTCCTTTCCTCTCCCCTCTTACTTCCCTTTTCCCCCCCTCAGGGGTTCCTTAGAATACTTTTGGGTAGTCTTAACACAGTCTCGTCTCTTTTTTCCAGAAAAAAATAGAAAGAAACGGGATCTGTGTGAAAATGGGTGTAAAGGGGAATAAGCACCACCTCCACACTGATCCCATGCATCAGGAGGGCACTCTAGCAACAGAAACAAAAAAGCAAAAATTCCCCAATTGATATTATTAGGGCTGCCAATCTTTTAGACAGAGACCTTTCTCCCTTTGGCACATTTTCTGGTGCTTAGGTACTAAGTGGAGATTTACTAACACCCTATGCATTCAAGGGCCAGGACTAATAAAGCCTAAATGTATATCGCAGACTTAGGTGTTTAGTAAATTCATCTCCTCACTTACTTAGGCATGGGAGTAGCCTTAGAAGGCTAGTTCGGTATTTATTATTGTTTGGAGTTAGTTTATTTTTGTGTTGATACTTTCTGTTACTTCAGATATTTAGCGGTCTCCCTCTGGTTACATTGTTCCATACCACTGGATGCTTTGGTGCCTACGTCTATCTCCAGTCAGCATTATATTCAGTTTTGCTTTTTTGTTTGTTGCTTCCTTCCCCCCCCTTCTCTCCCACTCTTGTGGTCATGGGTTCATACACTCTTTCCTTTGTTATCGTTTCCCTTACCTCTCCCCCCCCACCTTTCTTTTATTGTTTCCCTCCTTTCTTTTCTACTACTCCTTTTTCACTACCCCCCACTTCACTACCTGAAATCTCCTTAAAGGTCCCAGTCCCTTTCCTGTATATTACCAGTATAAGAATAGTTGTAGGAGGAATAACACTACGGGAGGTAACAGGAGAGGAAAATAAATAAATACGAAAGGACTATAATACCCAACAGGAAAAAACACAGATCTCTATTCAGTAAATTTGCCCCCTCTCCCCAACCGTTATTAACCAGCTAAAGCCTCATATTATATCAAATGAGATAGTTGCAAGGAGGAAGGAGAGGCATAAAGCAAAATAAAAATAGCCAAAGCTTCAACAAACAGGGAAGGACAGAGACTTAAAGGGACACTCCAGGCACCCAGACCACTTCTACCAATTAGAGTGGTCTGGGTGCCAACTCCCACTACCCTTAACCCTGCAAGTTTAATTATTGCAGTTTTTTATGAACTGCAATAATTACCTTGCAGGGTTAACTCCACCTCTAGTGGCTGTCTACTAGACAGCCACTAGAGGGCACTTCCTCGTCCATAGCACAGAAAACCTGTGCTAGAGCGTCGCTGGATGGCCTTACGCTGTGTGAGGACCTCCAGCGTCGCTCAATTCCCCATAGGAAAGCATTGAAACTTTTAATGCTTTCCTATGGGGAGCTCTAATGTGCAAGCGCGACATTGCCGCGCATTAGGTCTCCATGGCCGGGATCAGTCTCGCCCACCGGCCGATGTAAAGACTGGGAGAAGCAGTGGCGAGAAGAAACCCCCCCTTTTTTTCACCCCTTCAGCAACCGGAGATGAGGGGGTGGGTGGGAGAGGGGACCCGCAGTGCCAGGAAAACTGATTGTTTTCCTGGCACTGGAGTTTCCCTTTAAGTGTTAATTTGCCATTATTTCCATTACATCAACTATACACTTAGCTTTAGACCGGCTTCAGTATTTCTCCAATGTACCTTATCCATGCATCAGGAGATGCTCAGCGTTCTTTTTTGTATTCCTGGGCTGCCTATCGCTATGCTCCCTAGGGCACAGCTGCATTCAGACAGGACTTCTCACTCGAAATACACGCCATCCTTTCCTCTCCTCCAGCCCTGGGCAAGGGCATGAGCTACCCCTTCTCCTCGACTCAAGCGTTTCCCAGCCGCACACCACAAGGATGCCGTCTACGTCATCGCTCCTCTACCCCGGCTCAAGAGATCTTGCATCATTTTATCAGTATTCCAGAGCAAACAATGCTCTTCATAGGTTAGCTGTAAGTCGGTTATTACAGAAGAAGTGCCTCTAGTGGGCGTATTTCCCCTGCAATGTAAGCACTGCCATATCTACTAAACAGCAATGCTTTACCTTGCAGGGTTAAAACTAAAGGACCACAGCAACCATAAAACTTAATTAAGCCTTTAGTAGTCCTTTAACTCAGTGGAACTAACCAGATTTTCCTGCAAGGAAAATCTACAAAACAGGGCTCCGGTCATTGACACCAGATAAGTTGTCAAACCGTTCCTATGTGAAATGATACATTACTTTGGGAGGGTGCAAGAGACACTCCTGGCACAATAACAAACAGTCTGTGGGGGTTATATTATTTGGAGTGTTGCTTTAATCCAAATGGTTTGACAAAAAACAAACAAAAAACACACAAATTAAAAAGCCCTGAAATGGCCTTTCAACTTCCGACAGCATAATGACAAATTTAACTTCCGCAATACTCACTCAATTTCATTCAATAGCAATTTAGTACAGTAATGCACCAATAGCGGTAGTGATTCCAGTGTTTACAATGTCTCTACACAAGCAGTGACCAAATGTTGCATATTTAAAGGGATGCTTTAGTAATGTAGTGGTTCTAGTGTCTATAGCATGTCCCTGCAGGTTTTTCGATGTAAACGCTGACTTTTCAGATAAAACGTAGAGTATACATTACTGCCTAGTAACACCTCTAGTGGCAGTCACTCAAACAGCCACTAGATGTGCTTCCTGTATCAATGCAGCATGGAAATGCTGAACATTCCCCATGGCAATGCCTTGAGTAAATGCATCTCTATGAAGAGATGCGGATTGGCGCAGTGTTCCATTTTGCTGCGCACGCGCAATAGCCTCCCAAAGCTTTACTGTGGGGAAAGCATTGGATTGGCTGAGATCATCAAAATGGATTATCTCAGGCATGTAGGGGAAGCGCCTTACATCCCCTGCATTATTCAGCCTAGTGATATATTCCGCCGTGTTTACTGTTTTCCATAGATGCCAGAAGCGGTCACTTTCTGAGACCCCTGCTTTATAAACAATTTACAAAAACCCAACAGAGCGGCTGCACCATGCCATTACAGTAAGCTGCGGTAGTTATGGTGCTTACAGCGTTGTAGCATTCATTAGCTCATTCCCTGATTCCCCCTGTGGCAGCCTGTGTGAATGCTGCATATTGCTGGGAAGCTCTTTTCATGCACTGTCCACCTGCAGCAGAAGCCCTGGTGTCTGTGCCCGCCGTGCCTGCGCACGGATTGCAGCACACATACCCTGGGAGTGATTGGTGATCTAGGACACCATCCGGGGATCCATAGCCGCCCAGGAGCGCCTCGGCCGAGCCCGCTGGAGCTGCTGCGGACACTCCGTCCATAGAGCGTCTCTCAGACCGCAGCACCGCACACTTCCGGGTCAGTCCTGTCACTATTGGCCACCCGCTCTGTCCATCTCCTCATCTCCTCCAATCAGCGCGGCACATACGCCTCCTAACCTCACGTGACCCCTGACGTAATGTTCCACAGAGCTCATACACTATGTGGGCACAGAGCATTAAACGGCCGTCTTTGAAACGGTAGAAATAAGAAATGGCACGTGATATCAACTATCATGTAGGGTTCGCTAAGCACTTTCGTAAAGAGGTGCGTAGAAACATCGTTTCCCGTTAGTAACTGACCGTAGTAGAAGGTTCGGGAGCTCGCTACATGCTGCCGCCATATTGGTTCCTGGCAAGTAATTCAGCGCAAGGCTTTGGTCACGTAAACTTCCAGTTAGGTTAGTTCTGATTAGAAAAAAAAATCCCTCCCCTCAACCTGAAAAAATTAAATAAAAAATAAAAAAAAATGGGGGCGGAGGGGGGGAGGAGTTAAACCCAAGCTCTATATTGATTGGTGAAGGTCTCTGTGATGTCATTTCGTTACCAAGGGGGCGGTGACTGCGAATTGTTGCGGCGCGCGCTAGTGCACAGCTGTCCGTTGGGCACGCGCGTTTGTTTTCCAGTTGGGGGGGGTGGCGCGTGCGCGCGCTGTGAGCAAGCTGAGTTCATGTTCCGGTGAAATTCAAACCATCACCGTCCGCTCCCCGCGGGGGAGACTGCGGCTCCGGGCAGCAGGTAACGGGCACTGCAGCGCAGCTGAGGGGTTTTTGCGGTGTGTTAGCATGGAGAATGAGGGTGATAGTGACAAATGGGGATATATCACCAGGTGTGTGTGAAGCACGGTAACCGGGAGGCTCACAACAAAGACATGGCCGGTTCCTGGGGGGAACAGCGGGCTCCCATTACTGCCTGACTGTCACACATTGCTGTCTCTGTCATACATTGCTGTCTGCCTGCCTGTCACCCATTGCTGTCTGCCTGCCTGTCTGTCTCACATTACTGTCTGCCTGTCTGTCACCCATTGCTGTCCCTGTCTGTCACCCATTGCTGTCCCTGTCTGTCACCCATTGTTGTCCCTGTCTGTCACCCATTGCTGTCCTTGTCTGTCACCCATTGCTGTCCCTGCCTGTCACCCATTGCTGTCTGCCTGTCACCCATTGCTGTCTGCCTGTCACCCATTGCTGTCTGCCTGTCACCCATTGCTGTCTGCCTGTCACCCATAGCTGTCTGCCTGTCACCCATAGCTGTCTGCCTGTCACCCATAGCTGTCTGCCTGTCACCCATAGCTGTCTGCCTGTCACCCATCGCTGTCTGCCTGTCACCCATCGCTGTCTGCCTGTCACCCATAGCTGTCTGCCTGTCACCCATCGCTGTCTGCCTGTCACCCATCGCTGTCTGCCTGTCACCCATCGCTGTCTGCCTGTCACCCATCCCTGTCTGCCTGTCACCCATCGCTGTCTGCCTGTCACCCATCGCTGTCTGCCTGTCACCCATCGCTGTCTGCCTGTCACCCATCGCTGTCTGCCTGTCACCCATCGCTGTCTGCCTGTCACCCATCGCTGTCTGCCTGTCACCCATCGCTGTCTGCCTGTCACCCATCGCTGTCTGCCTGTCACCCATCGCTGTCTGCCTGTCACCCATCGCTGTCTGCCTGTCACCCATCGCTGTCTGCCTGTCACACATTGCTGTCTCTGTCTGTCTGCCTGTCACCCATTGCTGTCTCTGCCTGTCACCCATTGCTGTCTGCCTGCCTGTCACCCATTGCTGTCTGCCTGCCTGTCACCCATTGCTGTCTGCCTGCCTGTCACCCATTGCTGCCTGCCTGCCTGTCACCTGTTATTGCTGCCTGCCTGCCTGCCTGTCACCTATTGCTGTTCGCCTGCCTGCTCAATACCTATTGTTGCCTGCCTGCCTGCCTGTCACCTATATTGCTGCCCGCTCGCTCTGCCTGTCACCTATATTGCTGTTCGCCTGCCTGCCTGTCACCTATTGCTGTTCGCTCGCCTGCCTGTCACCTATTGCTGCCCGCTGCCTGCTCTGCCTGTCTTCACATTGCTGTCTTCGCCTGCCTGCCTCGTCACACATTACTGTCCCTGCTCTGTCACATTACTTTACTGCCTGTCACACATGTTCTGCCATTATTGCTGCTCCTGCCTGTCACACATTTCTGTCACTGTCCCTTGGCACCTCCTGCTGCTGGGATCCCTGTATGAAGTGTGGACATTATATAATGCCCTGGCTAGCTCTGTGGGTGCAATATAATTTCAGTCCTCCTCCTTCTGGCAGTGAGAGGGTTAAGTATTTTCCTGGGTTTCGGTTGTAGCTGGTCCTCCCCATCCTTTATGTCATGCAGCCATATAATTAAAGACTCAGCTTGATGAATAACCACAGACTCCTCTCACATACATAGAGGAGATGTCAGAGTAAACACAGCCACATCATGCACTGGTGTGTTTCACACTCTTTTTGTTTGCCCTTTTATTGTTTCCTCTTGTCAATATTTGCAAAAAGCTGTTATTGCTCTGGATCTGTATAACCTTTCCCCAGTTGGTGTCATTTAACTGACAATGTTTAATTGTTTGGGACACAGGATTGTGTCCTTGCTTTTTTCTCCCATAAGCTCTCTGTATGTGGAGATATTGGAAATCTGCAGACACCGTTTGAAACTTTGGTTGTTCTAGCAAGTCAGTAATCAGTGATTTTGCTATTTGTGAATAGTTGTACAGAACATGCTCTTATTAGTATGAATTTTCTGATGCATCCTGAGAGAGAAAACCAAAATACAGTTAACAGAGCAAGGCTAAGTCCGTAGTATGCCAAGCATGAATGCATTGCCTCCCAACAACCTGTATGCTCATGTTTACATTTTTTTTTTTTGTCTCTTTGCAATACAAAACAACATTTTTTCCTTAACCCCTTAAGGACGGAGCCAAATGTACACGTTGTGAACAAAACAAAATGTAAACAAAACCTGGAATTTCCGCTACATGTCTGTCCAACCGTAATTCACCTCTTTCATAGTAAATGCACCAACCCTTATTATATATCATTTTATTCAGGGGAAACAGGGCTTTCATTTAATATCAAATATTTAGCTATGAAACATAATTTAATATGAAAAAAATGGGAGAAAATACGATTTATTTTGATTTTTTTAGTTCTACATGACATTTTAACGGTCAATGTCATAATACTGTTTGCTTTTACTGCAATAAAATACACATATTTGTATTCAGCAAAAGTCTCACGTGTAAAGACAATACCCCTATGTACAGTTTTATGGCATTTTGGGAAAGTTACAGGGTCAAATATAGCACGCTATATTTGGGCTCAGGGCCTTCGCCAGATTATTACATTGCCTTGAGACCGTAGTAGCACAGAATGAAATTTACACTATATGGCATGCTGCTCATTTGTATTGTAGCCAACCTGTATTGGTAAATGGTGGCGTCCAGTTTTTGCCGCTACTTAAATGCCAAACACTGGCCAAAGTTAGCGTTAGTATTTGTTTGTGTGTGAAAAATGCAAAAAACGCCAATTTTGGCCAGTGTTTGTGACTAAGTGGCTACTAAAATAGACTGGACATACCCTGTTTGCAATACCTTGGGTTGTCTACTATTGCAAATGGTATGCTATCATAGGGGTAATTTTCATTCTTGGGCTACCATAGGGTCTCAAAGGCAACGTAACCAATCTGGCGAATTTTAATGTGAAAAAAATGAAACGCCAGCCTTATATTTGACGCTGTAACTTTTGAAAACACCATAAAACCTGTACATGAGGGGTACTGTTGTACTCGGGAGACTTCGCTGAACACAAATATTTGTGTTTCAAAACAGTAAAAGGTATCGCAGGAATAATATCGTCCGTGTAAGTGCTGTTTGTGCGTCAAAAATGCAAAAAACTCCACTTTTACTGGCGATATCATCGTTGTTATACATTTTACTGTTTTGGAACACTAATATTTGTGTTCAGCGAAGTCTCCTGAGTAGAACAGTACCCCCCATGTACAGGTTTTATGGTGTCTCGGAAAGTTATAGGGTTAAATATAGTGCTAGCAAATTAAATTCCCTTTACTTTCGGCATGGGCTGTCAGGCAGGTCCCGCTAATTGTAATTAATTAAGATACCTAATTATGTAAAAATATTACATAAATATATATGTAGAATCAATATATGTATATATATACGTATGTGAATCTATATGTGTATATATATATATATATAATTTTTTTTTATATTTTTATTTCGCTCTCTACGGTATTTTGAGATATATATATATATATATATATATATATATATATATATATATATATATATAAATTCTACAATACAGTTAGAACTAAATAAATACACATCTATATATTTTTTAATTATTTATTTTTAATTTTATTTTTAACGTGATTTACATATTTTTCATATATTATAAATCAGTATCAGTCTAATGCGTAATTTGATATTAAATATATATATATATATATATATATATATATATATATATAATGTGTATGTATAATTTTTTTTTTACACTTTTTAATTTATTTGATTTTATTTCCAGCCAGCAGGGGGACCACCTGTCTTTACAGGCAGTCTCCCTGCTGGCAATGCTGCAGCCAGCTACCCCCGGCCATGTGATTGTGGGGTCCTCGCAAGGACCCCACTCTCACATGGCCGGGGGGCTTCCAGGGGGTCAGACGTGCCGCGGGGGGCTCCCTGGGAGTCCCCCCAACCGTGATCGCCGGCGACCGGATAAGTAGGAAAAGACTGGAGGGCGTACTATTACGCCCGGCGGCGTTTAGAGCTGCTTAGAATAGGGTGTAATAGTACGCCCTCCGGTCTTAAGGGGTTAAGGACTGAGCCAAATGTACTCGTGATCAAAACAAAACGTAAACAAAAACTTGAATTTGCACGATATGTCTGTTCAGGCGTAATTCGCCTCTTTCATATTATGTGCACCCACACTTATCATATATCATTTTATTCAGGGGAAACCGGGCTTTCATTTAACATCAAATATTTAGGTATTAAACCTAATTTAATATGAATACAATATTTAAAAATGGGAGAAAATAAGAATAATAATAAAAAAAAAAATAGTTCTACGTGACATTCTAAGTGTGAATGTCATAATACTGTCTGCTTTTACTGCAGTAAAATACACATATTTGTATTCAGCGATGTCTCACGTAAAAAACAGTACCCCCTATGTACAGGTTTTATGGTGTTTTGGGACGTTACAGGGTCCAATATAGCATGCTAAATTTTTCAGTTTTTTCACATTGAAATTCGCCAGATTGGTTACATTGCCTTTGAGACTGTATGGTAGCCCAGGAATGAGAATTACCCCCATGATGGCATACCATTTGTAAAAGTGGACAACCCAAGGTATTGCAAA